TACCGACATGCAAAAATCGACATAGCATTTTATTCTTATTACGAATACAAATATATAATTTATGGGGTCTCCGGTGAATATTTCGAGATGTTGCAAACGGAATAAAAAAATGGAGGTTGGCCAAGGGCCACAATAAGGTGAAGGGTATTATTAATCACACCACTTTTCTTTGGGGGTTTTAATACTCGCCAAGAGCTTTTATCCCCATAAGGAATTTCCCATCCCCCAGACCATAAGCTCGATGTTGTTGCATAGGGATATCAAAGGAATGCTGAAAAATCGGCTATTGCATTTGCCTGGAAAAACTTATTTTTAAAAATCGCCGATTGCGTTGGTATTAGAAAAACTATTTTTTAAAAATCCACGCCGTTCTTATTCCTTAAAAAATTTATTTTTTAGAATCCAAGCCTGTCTTAGTCCTAGAAAAACTTATTTTTAAAAATCGTCAATTGCGTCGGTATTAGAAAAACAATTTTTTTAAGAAACCACGCATTTCTAATTCTTTGAAAAACTTATTTTTAAAAATCCACGCCTTTCTTATTCTTTGAAAAACTTATTTTTAAGAATCCTTGCCTTTCTTACTACTTGAAAAACTTATTTTTAAGAATCCTCGCCTTTCTTACTCCTTGAAAAACTTATTTTTATGAATCCTCGCATTTCTTACTCCTTGAAAAACTTATTTTTAAAAATCCACGCCCTTCTTATTCTTTGAAAAACTTATTTTTAAAAATCCACGCCTTTCTTATTCTTTGAAAAACTTATTTCTGAGAATCCTCGCCTTTCTTACTCCTTGAAAAACTTATTTCTGAGAATCCTCGCATTTCTTACACCTTGAAAAACTTATTTTTAAAAATCCACGCCTTTCTTATTCTTTGAAAAACTTATTTTTAAAAATCCACGCCTTTCTTATTCTTTGAAAAACTTATTTTTAAAAATCCACGCCTTTCTTATTCTTTGAAAAACTTATTTTTAAAAATCCACGCCTTTCTTATTCTTCGAAAAACTTATTTTTAAAAATCCACGCCTCTCTAAGTCCCTGAAAAAATTATTTTTAAAAATCCAAGCCTGTCTAAGTCCCTGAAAAACTTATTTTTAAAAATCCATGCCTGTCTAAGTCCCTGAAAAACTTATTTTTAAAAATCCAAGCCTGTCTAAGTCCCTGAAAAACTTATTTTTAAAAATCCACGTCTGTCTATGTCCCTGAAAAACTTATTTTTAAAAATCCACGTCTGTCTTAGTCCCTGAAAAACTTATTTTTAAAAATCCACGCCTGTCTAAGTCCCTGAAAAACTTATTTTTAAAAATCCACGTCTGTCTTAGTCCCTGAAAAACTTATTTTTAAAAATCCCCGCCGGTCTAATTCCCTGAAAAGTTTATTTTTAAAACTCCACGTCTGTCTAAGTCCCTGAAAAACTTATTTTTAAAAATCCACGCCTGTCTAAGTCCCTGAAAAACTTATTTTTAAAAATCCACGCCTGTCTAAGTCCCTGAAAAATTTATTTTTAAAAATCCACGCCAGTCTAAGTCCCTGAAAAACTTATTTTTAAAGATCCACGCATGTCTAAGTCCCTGAAAAACTTATTTTAAAAAATCCAAGCCTGCCTAAGTCGCTGAAAAAATTATTTTTAAAAACCCCCGCCTGTCTAAGTCCCTGAAAAACTTATTTTAAAAAATCCAAGCCTGTCTAAGTCCCTGAAAAAATTATTTTTAAAAACCCTCGCCTGTCTAAGTCCCTGAAAAAATTATTTTTAAAAACCCCCGCCTGTCTAAGTCCCTGAAAAAATTATTTTTAAAAATACACGCCTTTCTAAGTCCCTGAAAAACTTATTTTTAAAAATCCCCGCCTGTCTAAGTCCCTGAAAAACTTATTTTTAAAAATCCACGACTGTCTAAGTCCCTGAAAAACTTATTTTTAAAAATCCACGCCTGTCTAAGTCCCTGAAAAACTTATTTTTAAAAATCCACGCCAGTCTAAGTCCCTGAAAAACTTATTTTTAAAAATCCACGCCAGTCTAAGTCCCTGAAAAACTTATTTTTAAAAATCCACGCCTGTCTAAGTCCCTGAAAAACCTATTTTTAAAAATCCACGCCAGTCTAAGTCCCTGAAAAACTTATTTTTAAAAATCCACGCCTGTCTAAGTCCCTGAAAAACTTTTTTTTAAAAATCCACGCCTGTCTAAGTCCCTGAAAAACTTATTTTTAAAAATCCACGCATGTCTAAGTCCCTGAAAAACTTATTTTTAAAAATCCACGCCTGTCTAAGTCCCTGAAAAACTTATTTTTAAAAATCCACGCCTGTCTAAGTCCCTGAAAAACTTATTTTTAAAAATCCACGCCTGTCTAAGTCCCTGAAAAACTTATTTTTAAAAATCCACGCCTGTCTAAGTCCCTGAAAAACTTATTTTTAAAAATCCACGCCTGTCTAAGTCCCTGAAAAACTTATTTTTAAAAATCCACGCCTGTCTAAGTTCCTGAAAAACTTATTTTTAAAAATCCACGCCTGTCTAAGTCCCTGAAAAACTTATTTTTAAAAATCCACGCCTGTCTAAGTCCCTGAAAAACTTATTTTTAAAAATCCACGCCTGTCTAAGTCTCTGAAAAACTTATTTTTAAAAATCCACGCCTGTCTAAGTCCCTGAAAAACTTATTTTTAAAAATCCACGCCTGTCTAAGTCCCTGAAAAACTTATTTTTAAAAATCCACGCCTGTCTAAGTCCCTGAAAAACTTATTTTTAAAAATCCACGCCTGTCTAAGTCCCTGAAAAACTTATTTTTAAAAATCCACGCCTGTCTCAGTCCCTGAAAAACTTATTTTTAAAAATTCACGCCTGTCTAAGTCCCTGAAAAACTTATTTTTAAAAATCCACGCCTGTCTAAGTCCCTGAAAAACTTATTTTTAAAAATCCACGCCTGTCTAAGTCCCTGAAAAACTTATTTTTAAAAATCCACGCCTGTCTAAGTCCCTGAAAAACTTATTTTTAAAAATCCACGCCTGTCTAAGTCCCTGAAAAACTTATTTTTAAAAATCCACGCCTGTCTAAGTCCCTGAAAAACTTATTTTTAAAAATCCACGCCTGTCTAAGTTCCTGAAAAACTTATTTTTAAAAATCCACGCCTGTCTAAGTCCCTGAAAAACTTATTTTTAAAAATCCACGCCTGTCTAAGTCCCTGAAAAACTTATTTTTAAAAATCCACGCCTGTCTAAGTCTCTGAAAAACTTATTTTTAAAAATCCACGCCTGTCTAAGTCCCTGAAAAACTTATTTTTAAAAATCCACGCCTGTCTAAGTCCCTGAAAAACTTATTTTTAAAAATCCACGCCTGTCTAAGTCCCTGAAAAACTTATTTTTAAAAATCCACGCCTGTCTAAGTCCCTGAAAAACTTATTTTTAAAAATCCACGCCTGTCTCAGTCCTGAAAAACTTATTTTTAAAAATTCACGCCTGTCTAAGTCCCTGAAAAACTTATTTTTAAAAATCCACGCCTGTCTAAGTCCCTGAAAAACTTATTTTTAAAAATCCACGCCTGTCTAAGTCCCTGAAAAACTTATTTTTAAAAATCCACGCCTGTCTAAGTCCCTGAAAAACTTATTTTTAAAAATCCACGCCTGTCTAAGTCCCTGAAAAACTTATTTTTAAAAATCCACGCCTGTCTAAGTCCCTGAAAAACTTATTTTTAAAAATCCACGCCTGTCTAAGTCCCTGAAAAACTTATTTTTAAAAATCCACGCCTGTCTAAGTCCCTGAAAAACTTATTTTTAAAAATCCACGCCTGTCTAAGTCCCTGAAAAACTTATTTTTAAAAATCCACGCCTGTCTAAGTCCCTGAAAAACTTATTTTTAAAAATCCACGCCTGTCTAAGTCTTTGAAAAACTTATTTTTAAAAATCCACGCCTGTCTAAGTCTTTGAAAAACTTATTTTTAAAAATCCACGCCTGTCTAAGTCTTTGAAAAACTTATTTTTAAAAATCCACGCCTGTCTAAGTCTTTGAAAAACTTATTTTTAAAAATCCACGCCTGTCTAAGTCCCTGAAAAACTTATTTTTAAAAATCCACGCCTGTCTAAGTCCCTGAAAAACTTATTTTTAAAAATACACGCCTTTCTAAGTCCCTGAAAAACTTATTTTTAAAAATCCACGCCTGTCTAAGTCCCTGAAAAACTTATTTTTTAAAATCCACGCCTGTCTTAGTCCCAGAAACCTTTAAGAGACTACCCAATTTTCGTTATTTTTATGATTCGTTGTGGATGTCGTTTGGCATTCCGGAACCTTCTTCACAGAGCCTATTCTATATAAGTCTATGTTTCTTCATACCTCCCATACATAGGCGATATTTTCGAAATATTTAAGATCTATTCTCAATTTTCCAACCTGCGTGTCTATAGTTTGCTAGTTCTTTTTTTACCAAAACATTGCACCCTTATAAAGGTTGCGTTAAATTTAATTGATTTTATATCTCCCCTCACCATCGAACTTGCATATTCGGTCCTGGTCGATCTTTACTTTATTGTAAAGAATCGAATGCAATTCATATGTCAAATGACAAACAAACTGCGATTTTATAAAAGATGCTACTTTAAATATAACGGTCCCTCATTATGTTATCGATAAATAACAAATACTTATATCGATATGGCAGCATTGCTTTGTTTTTCTTGTAACTTGCCGGTACGAGCAGTTGTTGGATTAAAACATTAATTTTGTACAGTGGTACTCCAATTTATATAAGTGAATTTCGAGATCTAGTAAAATTTAAAACATCTAATATCAAAAAAAGTGCATTAAAAATTTAATAAGTACGTGAATTTCCTTTTCGAACAAGGTAAGTTAAAAGCTCTCTCTCTATTTTGTAAATTGAGTTGATTTTCACGCTTGGCAACTCTCCAAGAATGACCCTCAAAACAAAACAAAAGGGGGTTGGAGTTTGCATTTGGTTTACTTGGTGGTGGTAGTCGGAATCAAACAGGTTGTCACAGAAAACCGAAAGTAAAATAATTCCATTATGGTCTTGGATCTAAATAAGAAAACCTATTTCCTTGTAACTGGTGCCTCCCGCGGCATTGGCAAATGTATGGCCATTGAAGTGGCTTACAAATTGAAAGCTGGTTCGGTGATTGTTTTGGTGGCACGCAATAAAGAGGCATTGGAAAATACAGAAACAGCTATACTGGCCAAACGTTCTGACGTCACAGTCCGCACAGTTTCTATTGACCTTTCCAATGCTAAAGCTGAAAACTTTCAAAAATTGTTAAGTGATTCATTGGTGCAAACTGCAACGAAAGCCTGCGATTTTGAAAGGGCATTTATTATACATAATGCCGGTACTGTGGGTGATGTTTCCAAAAAGGCCAAAGATATAGCAGATACTGAAGCATGGTCTCAATATTATCACATGAATCTGTTCTCCACGATTTCCTTAAATGTGGAATTCTTTAAAGTGTTTGCCGAAGTACCAAAATTGGTGGTCAATTTAAGTTCCAAATGTGCTGTCGAACCATTTGCTTCGATGAGTTTCTATTGTTCCGGTAAGGCTGCAAGAGAAATGTATTTTAACGTATTAGCTGTGGAGGAAAAAGATACAAATACATTGGTCTTAAATTATGCTCCTGGTGCTATTGACACCGATATGACGGTTTATGTCTAAAAGGAAACGGTAAACAAAGATTTACATGAGGCATTTAAAAGTCAGCGGGACAACAAGACAATGCTTACTGTGGATCAGACTACCGCCAAGTTTATTAAGATTTTGGAAGAAGTTGAATTTAAAAGTGGTGCTCACATCGATTATTGGGATTAGGTACTACAGGATTACTTCAAGAATGAGCAACAAATGGAATTTGTTCTTTACATATAAACTATTTGGTCTGAGGACGATCGAAATTCTATTTCATCAAATTTTATCTCATAGTATTTGAATGGTTGTATTTATATTACTTATTGGTGCTTCATTTTTCCAGTTATATACATGTCTTATATATAATACTACATACATACGTATGCTCAATATTGTGCTCAAATTTTGAATTTAATTAATAAATGTATTGGACTCCATCCATAACCGAATAATTTTATAATACCCTGTAGAAGGCCAGAACGTCTGCCATAGAAGTCCAGTAAGTCTTATAGACAAGAAAGTATTTTCATAGAAGACCAGAATATCTCCTAGAAGAAGAACAACAGATCTTCGAATCGAAGACCACAAGTTTTTTTCCTTGAAGACCAGTATAAAATGTTCTTATCCTAGAAGACCAGAATGTTTTCTCATAATAGACTTGAAGTTCTACGTCTTACAAAAGATCACAGAATTGTCAGTGATTACCAAAGAAGACCAGATTTTTTTAGAAATACCCAGAAGGTCTTTTCATAGATGACCAGGCCTTCGTATAGATGACCAGAAGGTCTTCATATAACAGACAAGAATATATTCACATAGTCTTCTCCTTTAGAGCAAGAAAACCAGAAAATATTTTAGATATTCAGGAGGTTTTCTCCTGAACAACCTGAACGTCTTCTCCTGTAAGACTAAAAATATTTCTCCTAAAGAATATCAGAAGGTCTTCAGAAATAAGAACAAAGGACCTCAAGGTCTTCATATAGAAAACCAAGAAGTTTTCTCAAGACGAGAATGTGTTCTCCTAGAAAATCTGGGAGTCTTCTCCTCTAAGAGCAGAATGGTTTCTCCCACAATACCAGAAAATTTGTAGAAGGCCCTAATCAAGAACAGGAAACAGAATGCCTGCATAAAGAAGACCAAAAAGTCTTTGTAAAGAAACCCAGAATGTATTCACATAGAAGCACAGAAATTCTTCTTATGGAAACCAGAATGCCTTCCTATGAAAGACCCAAAGGCCTTTATATAGAAACCTGTAGTTTTTCTCATAGAAATGACTTCTCCTAGAATGACCTGAACGTTTTCACAGAAATTTATAGAAGGTCCTTTCGAAAAATGTACAGAAGTACTCATAAAAACCAGTAGGTCTTCTTATAGATGGCCAGAAGATCTTCATATTAGAAGTTCGGAAGGTCTTCTGAAAGACGACCAGAAAGTCTTGCAGAACATCGAAAGGTCTTCTTGCATAATTTCGGCTTATCTTCGTATAGAAGATTGGAAAGTTTTCGTATAAAATATCGGAAGGTGTTCCCTTATAGAGTATCAGATCTTATAATGAATGATCCTTTGCGGTTCTGTAACAGACATCTTGACCTTTTCGAAAACTATCCTTTCAGTCTCCTCTTCTCCATCAGATACATCGAAGTCAAGGAGTATTCATTTCAAAAATATAGTTTTATTTATTAGCTAATAAGAATAATAATCCACAGCATACCCAAAACACTGGGTAAAAAAATTTCAACGGTTCAATGCTATAAAACTCGCCATCTATCAATTTCCATAGTAGTGCTACATTAAACTCTATTTCGGACTAAAAGAAATCTGCCGCTCGAGCACGTTTAGTTGTAGGAATATTCAGCAAATCATCCGTTAGAGTTCCACCGGTGGCACTTAATGTTGATTCTATATTTGCTACTGAAACCTTGGGTAAAGGTTTTACCGCAGAGGACTTCTTAACACCAACATCTGGTGTACTCTTAGTGGCATTTGGTTTTGGTGTCACCTTTAGTTTGGGTGTTCTCAACGGAGATGGTGTCAGCATACTGGGCGTAGAGCGTATACCCAATTTCATGGTGGCTAAATTTCGGGCAGCTGGTGACATTGATGCTAAACGATCCATATTCGAACGTATAAAGGGTGAAGAGATATTTGTGTGTGCCGTTTCTTTTGCTCGGCGTTTTTGGGCACGCATTTTCTCTCCAACCTTTTCGGCTAGGGCTAAAGCTATTGTTTCACGGCGGGAATTTTCATTGATTTTAAAGGATGGGCCAGTATTGGGACGCACTGGAGTATCTGAGCCATCCAAACGAAAGGGTGTGCCCTCAATTTCACCCCATGTCATTAAAGGGGAAAATGCTTCGCCAGGTCTGGGGGAGGGAGTTTTGAGTAAATCAAAACGATTAATTTGTGGTGCCATGGGGTTACTTGTTTCACCCACAATTGATAGCTCAGAGTTGGAATCTGTTGTGGATCCCGTTTTTGGTTTCGCCTTATCATCCTCCTTAAATGGGGTGGTGTGTAACCGAGTGGCACTGTGTTGTATTACCTGACGACGATTTGCCATTTCTATTTTCTCTTTTTCTGTCAGTTCTACACCTTCAGGTGTATACATGATGGAATTTTTATTGGTATAATTCCACGTCTCTATGCTTCTCATGGGATCGGGTTCTTCAAATTGTTTTTCTATTGAGGGTAGTGTTAGGGCCCTTGCGAGTTTTTCTGCTGATAATTTTTCTTCATTATAAAGGACCGAAAATTTTTGCCTTAGCTTGGCATCAGCTGTATCGACAATTTGTTGGAAACTATCGTTGTCCTCACTGGTATAGGCTTGGAGAAATGAGTCCAACGAATGTTTATCAGCCACTGAGGTGGATTTTTGTGAAGATTCTGAGGTCATCGAACTGGCACCAGGTGTATCTGCTGCACTGTTACTTCGTGGTGTTCTCTCCCCAAAACTGGCAGGTGTTTCAAAGGTGGCAGGGGTCATTGCTGAAAACGAAAAGCTTTGGAATTACTTTTTGGGAAACATTATCTCATATACTTACATCTACTCCTCTCGCTGTGCTGTCTCCCACTGTATTTGGCCCTAATGGATTCCATGCGGGCATAGTCTTTCTGTTCCATTGCATCGAGGTATTCATTTTGTGCCTTCAGTTTCTCCAAATCGGGAAAGAAGTCGCGTTGTATAATTTTCGATATTTCTTCGATGTACTTCTCCTCGGTAAGAATCTTGGGTTTGGGTTTCTTTCGTATCACACCAATTTCGGAAGGTCTTTTGAAAGGCTCCAAAGCCTGTGGTTTCTTATTGAAATTGATCAGAGCCTGACTACCGGGAGTCGATTGTGGCGTTTCACTGGGGTTGGACATATTTTGTACTTCTTGTTGGCGGTGGCTATTTTGGAACTGTTTTTTATCTCTTCATTGGACTTCCTAAACGTTTGTTGAAATAGTTCAAATGGGCTACTTCGTGAAATGAATGTTCGGAACTATTATCGAATGATATGAAAGGGGTGTTTAAAGAGAAAGGCCGATAATGAACGTGGGCAACACAAATTGGATGATGTGTTTACGAATGAGTGTAATGCATAAGTGTGAAATTGAAATGCTTGTTTAGAAAGAGACTTGGCGAAATGTGGAAATCAGCGGATAAAATACAGGGAACACGGAAGTCGAATCCAAACATTAAATTTTCGGATAAAAATTGAATTGAAAGAAAAAAATCATTAAGTTTGAAGTAAAAAAAGGGAGTAGAAATAGTAATCTTCTGTGGACTAGTGAATTAATTCTTTCACTAATCTTTTAACATATATGGAACAGTGCTGCCAAGTCTATGTGGACACTGTGTGACACAGTAAACATAGGGTGATTCAAATATGTTTCAATAAATTATACCATAAAGTGGAGTGTGTATTAAACCACTCATTATGTTTGCAGGACATCGAAATATTCAGCGGATATACCATATATAGCATTTCCACATTAAATGAAACCTTTTACAAATTAAATGAACCCTTTTCCAAATTAAATGAAACCTTTTCCAAATTAAATGAAACCTTTTCCAAATTAAATGAAACCTTTTCCAATTGAAATTAAACCTTTTACAAATAGAATGAAACCTTTTCCAATTGAAATGAAACCTTTTACAAATAGAATGAAACTTTTTCCAAATTAAATGAAACCTTTATTCTTATCTAAGGAAATATAATATTTGCAGTAATTTTAAACCAATATTTGAAAATTAAATCAAAGAATATTAACAAATATAGTTGTATGGCTATGTAATTAACATAAATATTCTTTAATTCGGTGTGATTTCATTTAATATCTTTACTACATAAAACTAAATAAATAGTAATACAAACTGGGGTATTTCTTGACATTTTAATAAATAAATATTTAAGAACAAGAATTGAATACCCGGTCCTAAATGCGAAATACATATTTGACTTAATAAATTGTTGATGATAAGGTAACTGCTTATCTTAATGAAGGGGTTCCCGACTTGCAGCTTGTGGGATTTTCAAAACCATGTCCATAACGTAGTTAGAATAATCTTGCCGAGTAAGCTTTTGAATACTTCGCTCGATTACATCAACAATGTTATGTTCCATTGAAACGTCACACAGCTCAGCTCTTGGACATAATTTTATTTTTGAAAATGCATTTTCGATTGGATTTAGTATTGGAGAATAAGGCGGTAAGAATTTAAGGTTGCATCTTTTGGATTCGATCAAATTTTTTATGTCATGTCGCTTGTGTATTTGAGCGTTATTTTCCAACTCTGGATTGATTTTCTCAAAAAAAATTTCTATAAATAATTTAAATCTATCTGCATTGACACTGGAATTAGAAACGATTGTGTGATGTACAACTCCCGCGTTGTTTATTGCTGCAATTATAGTGACATTACTACCTCTGACCGTAGGCAACACAATGTGTGCTCTTGTTCCTTGACTTGAACGGGCTTGGGTTCTTCGTATGTGAAGATTAAATCCACACTCATCAATGAATATAATTTTTTTCCTTGTTGGGGTATCCATTTTGTATAGTCTTGAGCATATTTTTGTCTCAAGCCTAATGTTCTGGAGTCATTCATTCGTTCTATTTAAATAGTGGCCATCTTAAACGTAATTTTTAATTTCCGTAATCTATATTCTATGCAGCTTGTGGAAATATTTATTTAATTT